TTTTTTTTTTACAGGTCGTATTGCTGCGCTGTTCACGCCCAATGGATGTGCCCTGGACGAGGAATATTCAAGGACGATGAGTTCAAAATAACGCAACCACATAATCATCCTGTCGATGAACATTTGGGGATTAAGGAAATCTTTATCCACCAATTATGCTTGGCAGCAGCATCACAACTGAGATCAATTCCCAAGATTTATGAAACTCTAGAAGCTGTGTAAGTTTGAACAAGTTCTTTTTATTCCTTGGACTATTCTTTGATCTCGATCGATTTCGTTGCCCCTTTTATATTAGGAAGAAAATTTAAAAAATTTGAAGCATAGCATCTGAGGAAAACCTCAGAAAAATTATTCAGAAGAAAAAAGAAAAGTTTGATAATTATTTTAAATATTACAAAGTATCATTTTCATTTATTTTTAGAATGTTTAATTACTTACATCTTTTTTGAATCTTCAAATTTTTGAACTTATATAAATCAATGAAAATTGAATGCCCTTTTTGTGTTTCTTTATCTACTGTGTTATGCATTTTATAGACATTGGGAGGCAGCTCAGCTCATTGATTATGATGCTGTGAAAAATCGCATGACTACTTGCAGACTTCATATGGAATTCCCAAGGATCGATGATTCCTACGGAACTCTGTACGACAAACTTTCAACGGATATGTATATCTCCCTGCTTTGGAGTCGTAATGGTCGTATGGATATGGAAATCTATAACACAGGCGGAGAATCTGAAGTCCTCATCTTTTCCGATTATGAGTTTTTGGTTGATCTCAGAAATGCGGAAGTATCATCAGTCTCTTTCGTGGCCAGCAATCAATTCGATATTTCATTACTCCCAGTGACAGAAATTATCGTTGCATCGGCACTTATTGATAACCACGTGAGTATGTTTTTAGTTCATCTATTTTTTACAACTTTTATCGGATTTTCTTCCTCTTGTTTTTACCATCTTATTTAATCCGAGTCCATTACCGCTGTAATCTTATCCATTTGTAGTTTTACAATCAAATTCTAGGTCATCTCAAAAGTCACAACTTTGCATTCACATCAGAAATTAAGTATCTGGATTTTGATACTATTTGTTCAAAATGGGAAAATTCTGAAAATGTGTCTAGCTTTTAAGGAGTCTAGCTTTAGATTTCATACAATCATAAATAGAAAGTAACAGAACATGATACAACAATTTAACGCTCTCAGGTGCTGCCATGTTTGTGGATTCTTGTAAAGAACAGAAATCCGCCAGCCTATGCAGCAATTGTAACCAAACTGAAGAGGATATTCGAGCACACCGTGCCTATCTATGGGAATTTTGACGCATTACTCCATGAGAAACTCCTAGAGCACTATACAACTGTCAAAGGCACTTTATACAGTAGTTGTAATGTAAGGACCGACATGCTATATATGGTATCTTATTGGCGATATTAATATTTTTAAATGATAAAATAGTATATTTCGTAACGGGTTCGTGTCACCACCATTGTCGTATCAAAATATACTATTGTTGCATACTCCAGAACATTCTGTTATATTGCTAGATTCTATGGGCCAAAGCGAAGGATCTAGGCATCAGGTTTCTGAATGGCACCAACGGTACCATCATTGGACAAATTTGTGCGCTATTCCTCCTGGAGAAGGACATGATCGTCCCTACTTATCGCATACTGTGTCAACAAATGACACTACCACAGAAAGGTGAACTGGCAAGGTTACTTGAATATTTTGAGGATGATTGGCTTGGACGCGTAGGCCCTTCCCAGATGAGTTTCTATCAGGATTACGAGGGAACGAAAGATTTCCAGCGGCTGATAAAAAAATACTTGGATCGGAAGCTTGGAGCTAATACTAGCATTTGGGATTTGCTACGTATGTTTTTTTTTTTACTTATTTCATTAATTTGAATAGTTTCAAACTCGTTACACATTCGTGACTGAAAATTGACAGCACATTTTTTTTTATTTCTGGGTTTTGTTTCTCTGGCCAAAT